AGTGCTTGCTGCTCTTTCAGAGGACCAGGATTTCGTTCTCATGCACATGGCAGCTAAGAACCATCTGGAACTCCAGCTCCGGGGAATCTGACTCCTAGCTTTTTCCAGCATTTCATGCATGTGGTGTGCAAACACACGCTCAGGCAAACGCTCAGACACACAAATGAAGAACGAATACATCTTAAAAAGCGACCGGTCAGTAGATGAGTGAAAGTCAGGCTCCATGTTGAGACAATTGGGGTGTGCTCGAGGAACAGGGTCCTTCTTTTCTCTGTAGCAGCTCTAGATGTAAATCACCACTCTGTTCTGCAGCTCTCCCTCACGGCCCGCTTTGATCATGACTTCACCCAATGAAAAGATACTTCCTTGTGCTAAGCAAGCCCTTAGCTTCTCATAACCCCGGACAACAAAGGCCCCTCTGTGAGGACTAGGAATCCCTCTTGGAGTAGAGGGAAGGCCCCCAGCTGAACCGTATCCAAGGAAGATGTTGCAAAGCTTGCAAAGCTTGTTGGGAGAAAGGACCCCTGCATGAGATCTTTTCTTTTGGCTCAGATAATGGCCTCGCTTGGGGTTGGGGGTGGGAAGCCATCAAAGGAGAGCAGAGGCCCAACCTGAATGTGTTTGCCAATTACAAGGAAAAGCACTGGTGCCAACTCAGGCTTATCATGTTCAGAATTTAATGCCTTTTGGAAAGAAATTGGTTTCCCTCTGGTGCAGAGAACAGAAGTTATAGAAAAAGACCATCCACTTTGTGATACAAACCGAGGCAAAAACCATTCTACACTTAAGCCACGGCTGGCTCAGTTCCCCTCTGTCATGCCCACCAGGGAAGCCAGCATGGTGCCACCAGACTGCCAATCTCATGGCCTGGCATTCAAGGCTCCTCCTGACCTAACCTGAGCCCACCTTCGAAATTTGAATCCTACCCAGCGTCCTTTCCACCACCCACAAACCTGCTCCACACACCATCCTCACATCCTTCCACTCTCCCCAGGCCTCATGGGGAGGGTCCGTGGGATGGTTACAAACTACCCGTGTGTGAGTCTCCCATGTCTGGGGCCTCTGGTAAAGGCTAGTGCCTCTTCCTTCACCCTTCTTTCTTCTCTATTTTTTGTTTTGTTTTGTTTTTGAGTTTTCGTTTTTCAAGACAGCGTCTCTCTGTGTAACAGTCCTGGCTGTCCTAGAACTCCCTTTGTAGACCAGGCTGGCCTCGAACTCACAGAGATCCACCTTCCTCTGCCTGTGCTGGGATTAAAGGCATGCACCACCACCACCCCACTCCTTCACCCTTCTTTGAGCAGAAATCCCCCTTCCTGGTACAGTTACCTGAGCTCTTTGGTAACGACAACCCCTTTAAGAAAAAGCCCGAAAATTGGGTAGTGATGAGCAGGAGAGGTGAGGAGCGCCACCCCTCTTCCTCAGGAGGGCCTCCTGGAGACCACCCTCCTCATTGCATGCCATCAAGCAGCTGCATCAGGAATGGCAGCTGCCATAGCTGCACCTCATCACCTTTCAATCCTGAGTTGCCTGTGATCTGTATACCTAAACTAAAGCAAAAGCACAGAGAGGTTGAGAAATCTGCTCCAGGAAACACAGCTCATAAGTGGTGAAGCAAAGATTCCAATTCACAACTTTCTGGCTATAGGGCTAGCCCCATCTTCCCAAATGAAAATGCCTTTTCAAAGATATGCAAACTTTGGGCCACTAGCCACATTTGCCCCTGGCATCCTTGGGGAGTCCAATGGTGTCGGGAAAAGTAAGAAATACCTCTCCCGAGATCAGGGAGTACAGAATCTACTCCATGGTCAGTGGCTGGGGAAATACCGAGCAGCACAAGACTGTTTACCAGCAGACAAGGGACACAATGCCTCTAGGGGTTTAATGTCCTCAAATGTGCTGGGGAAAAGAAATCACTAAAGAGCTCTATCCAGCAGAATATCCAACGTGCTATGTCCCCAAAGGCTGTTGAGTTAGCATCTACCCACACACAACTTTTAAGCCAATGCAATGTGGCTGGATACTGCTGCTGGGAAACCAAGCATCTAATTGTATTTAATTCTCAGCAATTTCAATTAAAATAAGTACATGTGACCAGCATTTACCATTATCGGACTGTGCAATTCTGGGACATTCTGGAAGGTTGACAGCACTTTGCGGATCACCTGTAGTACATCACCAAGTCTCACGCTTTTTCATTTATGTTTTGACTGTAAGCTTTATGTCTTGAAGTGCAAAGGGAATTTTCCAGAATATTAATGGGCAAGAAGGCCCTGAAGGAAATAATACGTGTAAAGGCTTGGAAGCCTTTGGAACACATCAGACTGGCTGCAAATAGAACTGGACAGGGTTTCAGAGATTATTCGGGAAAGCCATGGCTGTTGCATGATGGAGGCCTTGGAGGGGGCCATTGACTTGGCAGGCAGCACCCGGCCACTCAAGACTCCCCACCTAGGAGGGGCTTGATGAGAAGAGCTGTGCTTCGGAGGACTGGCACCACCCATGTATTTGGATCTTGCTTAAATTCATTTTTTATGACTTATTCTCGTGAGTGGTGTGATGTATATGCCATGTGTGTGGAGGTGCCCGTGGAAGCCAGTAGAGGGCACCGGGCAGATCACCTAGAGCTGGAGTTACAGCCACAGTGAGATACCCAGTGTGGGTGCAGGAAACGCAGCCAGGTCTCCTGGAAGAGCAGCAAGCACTCCAGCTGTTGAGCCAGCTCCCCAGCCCTTGTAGTTCCAATGCTGCTCTCCCAAGGGTCTGCCCTCTCTCAGATGGACGCACACCAGTCACCCTAATTGCCTGCTTCCAACCATTTCCTACAAAGTTCTGTCTGTGGCTGTAATATCGGTCTACCCACCAATTGACATGCCAATGGTGGGTCGAGGAAAGTGACCTATTGACCTTTCATGTCTGTAGTCTTTGGCACCTGCTTGACTCAATAATGTCTCACTGTACACCTGTGGGCATTGAAGAGTAGCCTCCCACAGATAGTTCAATATCTTTTTCAAAGCAAAAGCATGACCTCATCACTTCCTCTGAGATGCCACACCAGGAAACAAGGATGGGGGTCCTCAGTACTGAACCCTTGCTGATGCCTCCTCTCTCAAACATCCCCACTGCTCCTTCTGTTTCTTTGGCCCCCAAACTTTTCAGTCCATCCATGTAGAGGTGCCTCCCCTCGTCCAGTCTTTCTTCATGGAGTGTTGCAGACCACCGAGTAAAGCTTTGGCCCCTCTAGGCTCCTCACTGATGTGCTCTTTAAAAATCAAGAATCCAGAGCCAGGCAGATCTCTGTGAGTTCGAGGACAGACTGACCTACAAAGCTGGTCCAGGACAGCCGGGACTACACAGAAAACCCCTGTCTCAAAAAAGCAAAACTCAGGACTCCAGAGGACTCATTCCCCCTCACAGGAGGCTGTCACTCTGTAGGTCAAGTCACACACTATTACCGCAGCTTCCTGGCACCCTGACACAAAGCAGGAGTTCAGAATTCTTTGTTGGCTAAGTAAACAGCACCCCTTGCTTCCTCCTTGTCATGTTCAGTATGCCTAAAGGCCTTCCTGTCATAGCTGGCCATCACCAGTTTCCCCATCTGCCTGACTCAGAACTGTCGGCATCTCAGAGCTGCCAGGTGGCGGCATAGTCTCTCAGTGCTGAGCCTCTCTGGGATAGGCCCAGTGTTATTTATGCACTACAGACCATTTGAGTAAGCTTTCTCGCTCTCCCAGGATAGTTGGATAGCTCCCCAAATGCATGCACTTCACCTTACTCATGCTGTCCTTACCAAGTCATATGTACTCATAATGCTCATGATAAATAATTAGTAATGTCACAAAAATTGAGATCAATAGGATGAGGGATATTCAATGAATGCTTTCAAGCTTTAGGGAACTATTGAATAATAAAAAATAGATACTGACTGAAAAGACATGGCTAGCAGAATATGAAATTGAATCACTGAATGTCTGTAACCATTTGGTAGGTTGGAGTTCATTGTCTCATTAGTTACTTGAAAGTAGAATAAAAGCATGCCTTAAGCATGTGTCTGTATGTAGTGAAATAGTCTACTAAATTGAGACATGACAATCTGAACATTTCTGTACCTTCTAAATTCTATGTATCATTTTCCTTATAAGCAAAGATATTTTCTAAATTATGTATTTATTAAATGGTTATGCCTTAATTAGTTGAAGCATTGCTTGATACATCCCCAAGGAGAAAATTTATTTACTTCATCTCTGTCTCTCCTTCCTTTCTTCCCTCCTTGAAACTATGTCCATCGGAGTGGAGGCATACTGCTAAGCAGTGTTTATTAGCACTACCCAAAGTAGGTTAATATGTTTAAGCTACTATAACAAAACACACTGGACTGTGCGGTTTATAAACAACAGAAATATTTTTCTCACAGTTTTGAAGACTGGAAGTTTAAGACGAAGGCCCTAGCAGATCGGTTTCTGCTAAATTCCTATGTCCTAGATAGTCACCTTTTCACTGTGATCTAGCTCGGAGAAGGGCCAACGGGGCTTCCTTAGGGCCTCTCCGTAAGGACGCTGCCCTCATGATCCACTCACTTCCCAAAGGCCCCACCTTTGATGCTGGGGATTGTTTCAACATCTGAATTCTGAAGCGAAAGCAAGCATCCAGACCTTCAGATGTGGTAGACAGTGTTAACAGGTCCAACATGCCCTGCTTGTGATGAACCGTTTACATGTTATACCATTTAAATCTCATTACAGTCTCATTTTATGAATGGGAACACTGAGATGTTAGTTAATTGTTGATTGATTGCTAACTGCCCGGAGCTGGGCTGCCAAGTCAGGCCTAACAGACCTCAGACTCTTGCCTGCCTGGGCTCTTCCAGGCCAGAAACCCCACAGCAACAGCCCTGCCCTATGCCCCCTGGATGCTGGCTTCTGTCATCTTCCCCATGTAGCCCCGCTGTGAAAATGAGGCAACGAGTATCCCTCCCTCAGTTTTCTGGTTTGGTGTTGTTACAGGAAGAGAAGTTAAACACCCAGAGAGGCCTAATGGACAAGCTCCCCAGCAGGTAAGCTGGCGTTTTTCCATTTTCTGCTCTGTGGGGTGGTCTGTTCTTTACACTTTCCACTAAATTTTATATCGCTCAGGGTAGAGATATAAAATTTGTTTCCTGTAACATTGGAGCCAGTGGAGAGAGCAAGGCCCCAAGTCTGTTTCTTTCTGGCTCATTCAGCTCTCAGTTCAATTATGTGAGTCAAAGTTTTTTGCTGTTGTTCTTGTTTTAACTTTTTTAATTTGTATTTTATTTTATATATGCGTGTGCATGTGTGCCTGTGTGGAAATCAATAGACATCTTCTTCCACCGCATGAGACTGGACCTAGGCTTTGAACTCAGGCCCTCAGTCTTGCCAATGGCGTGCTTTCATGCTAAGCTCCTCTCTTCAGCTTCTTATGATTATGATTATTATTATTACTTACTTTTGTTGTTGGGAAGAGAAAAAATGTGTGTGATGATATAGCAAACCAACCAAAATCGGATTTCCACTTTCCCAAGGAGGGTGGGACATCTCCAGTGACATTCAACACACCCCCCCAGCACACTGACTCTAAATGTCATCCCAGGACTGTACCCTCAGCACCCTAGGAATTTGTCAGGAATGCATCTTATTTAGGCCTCACCGGAGACCCCAGAATCAGAAGTTACCCACAATGCCCATCCCTCAGGTGACGCTGGTGTAACAGTCAGGTGAGGGACCAGGTCCTGGGGTACACCTTCTGTTACGGTTTGAATATGAAACGAATTCCTCAGGCTTGTGTGTTGAAGGCTTGGTACTCACCCAGCTGGGTGGAGGTATTTGGGGATGTGCTGGTTATTTTAAGAAGAAACTCCCAGCAGGGTGAAGTAGGTCCCTAGGGGCGTGTCCTTGGGGACTCTGTCTTGCAGTGAGTGGCACCTTTCTCTCTCTGCATCCTGGCTGCTTTTTAACACATGGTTCCACAGCCATATTCCACCTCATGCTCAGAAGAGTGGATCAGCTAACCCTAGACTGAGACTAGAAAACTAAGCCACAATAAATCCTTCCTCCTTTTAAATAATTCCCTGGTTATTTGTCACAGAGATGACCCAACCCATCACATTTTCCTTCCATTTATTTCTGACTCTCCTCCCAACTAACCTGCAGAACCATCTCCTACCTTTCAGCTCCAGGGCACCCAGCTGGTTGCTGCCCTACTCCGTGTATCTCAGACATGGTGTATTCATTATCTTTGTCCTTTCTGGAACATTCTAGACCATCATGCTGTCCCATCTCTGCAGAGCTTTTCATCCTTTCGGATTCATGTCATCTGCCTGTCTACCCTTCCTGTCACTGAGTTTGATAGATAGCGTGAGGGCCTGGCCTTCAAGCCTCTCTGCGTCGTTCAATGCTGTGGGCGCAAGTGTGTCTAGTGACCTCTTCTCTTGTACATTTCAATCACCTTGCATGGCTACATCCTGGACCATTCATCAACTGTGGGTTCTAAATAATAAGGTCAGGCCACCATCTCTTAGTACACCAGATTTCTTGCATGGCTACATCCTGGACCATTCATCAACTGTGGGTTCTAAATAATAAGGTCAGGCCACCATCTCTTAGTACACCAGATTTCTCATGCTCAAAGGTGTCGGGTACCTGGTTCTGTTTGTTTCTAGCTATATTAGACTCTTGAGCTCCCCAGGACTCTCCTCTAATAACCAAAAAAGTAAATCTGTTTAGGTTTATGCTAAAACATGCCCTGGGAAAGGTTGCATGCAGATGTGATAACAGGTGTCTGAACTGGGAGGGGAGATGAAAAAGCAAAGAAAGTAGCCAGTGACAAGATGAGGGAAGATGGGAAGGACGCTGTGGAGCCAGGAAAAGAAACAAACAGTGGTACAGTAGAGGGTTGTAAGGGTCTGTGACTCTCCTTTACCCCACAAGGCTCTTGGGGCGGGACAGCAACTCAGGGCTGTGCTTGGGGCCTTTGAGCAGTAAAACAAACAAAAATGGGACACAAAATGGACTGCAGAGAGTGTGCTTTCACAGAGTAATAATTCAACCAAGGAGACAGAAAACTACCTTTCGTGAGCTCCACTAGAAACATGGCAGCCAGGTGATTCTCATTTTTGCCCCTCTGCGCGTGCCCATGTGTGACTGCCACACAGCATCATCTAAGGACTAATGTTTGAGTTACTAGTACATTTTGTAGGTTGAACAGCACTGTGGACCATAAGAAATAAGGATCAAGGATAGCCATAAAATGTCAGTTAGCGACTGGTATATAGGAAGTGCTATGTAAACTTGGGGTTTTTATTGTCTTTACTATGGCATGGTGTTAAATATTCTGAGGCATTGGGCATGTCTGGAGTTGGTTTTGGGTGGAGCAGTGATGATAACTGCTCAGACATGTGTTCTGAAAGGATCTTCTGGCTCTGTGTGGCTAATGTGTTGGAAGGGGGCATGTAAGGATGCGGAGACAGGCTAGAAAACAGTGATGTAATCTGGGTATCGACAGAGAGGTGTTACTGCCTTGGAACAGGGCACGATGACCACAGCAACTCTTATAAAGGAAAGCATTTAATTGGAGCTGGCTTACAGTTTCAGAGGTTTAGTCTGTTATCAATGTAACAGGAAGCAATGCAGCACACAGGCAGACCTGGTGCTGGAGGAGCTGAGAGTTCTACATCTGGGTCCTCAGGCAGCAGGAAGAGTGAGACATTAGGCCTGGCTTGAACTATTGAAACCCCAAAGCCCACCTGCAGGGACACACTTCCTCCAACAAGGCCTCTCCCTAATGACCATGCATTTAAATATATGGGCCTATGGCGTCATTCCTATGCAAACCACCACACCAGACTTATCATGTGTTTGTATGGAGTCACCTTCAGAACAACCCTATAAGGCTGGTTGTTACTCATTCCCCCACCTTGATGTTGGCAAAACTGAGATTGAGGGGAGATATGTGGTGAACTTGAGACCACCCAGCTTCTCTCGACCCACTCCAGAGCCCACTGCCTCCGCTATAACAGCACACCATCATCTGTGTTCCACTTTAGAGCCCCTCCTCCTCTTCCAAGCCCCACTCAGAAGCGGCACATTGCGTTCCTTTCTCTTCAGTCTCTTCCAGAGCACCTCACTTCTGAAGTAATAGTGTAGGTTTTACACATTGAGCAGTTCTCCGCCTCTGCCTACCAGCTGGGTGTAACACCATCCAACCAACTTCCTGCACTAGATGCCACAAGTTGAGGGCCAAGGCCACAAGAGACTGCCCCCACTTCACATGCTGGTTACACACCTGGACCCTGAACATGTGGCCAAGCAGCCATAAATCAGGGTTTTCAAGGTACCTCCTTGGACTCAATAGCTTGTTTGAGTGGCTCACAGAGCTGAGAGAAACTATCGGGTTATATTTACTGGATTATTACAAATGATATTTTAAGGAACTGGGTAAGCAGCCAGACAATGCAGAACAAGGCAAGGTCTAAGAAGGCCATAAGAGTTGAAATTTCTGCCCTATGGAGTTGAGGAGCACACACTCCCAGCACACAGGAACATTTATACACTGCACAGGGGCATTTATACACATTTTGGCAAACTCTACTGCCTGTGGGGTTTTCAGAGTTCAATCATTATCTAATTTTCAGTATCTACCATCACCTCTAACACATGCATACACATACACAGAGACAGACAGACACACACACACACACACACACACACACACGGAGAGAGAGAGAGAGAGAGAGAAAGAGACAGAGAGGGAGAGGGAGAGAGAGAGAGAGAGAGAGAGAGAGAGAGAGAGAGAGAGAGAGAGAGAGAGAGAGAGAGAGAGAGAACATAGAACATAGGCAGGGAGATAGCAGAGGCAGGGAGAGAGGCAGAGAACCAGAGAGAGACCAGAGTGGATGGTATTGCACCAACCAGAACCTCTACTTGGTGTTGTGGTGATGGTAGTAGCATCCTGAGGCTATCTAGGGAACCCAGCCTAGATCATCTCAGTAGCATAAACTCAAGTGTGGTCAGCAGTGTTCCTTATGTCAAGAGACCACTAGTCCTTCTGGTAAAACAGTCTTAGAAGTAAAATTGATCATAAAAAATAAAGTGTGGGGGCTGGCGGGGTGGAGAGATAGCTCAGAGCTTAAGACCAATGGCTGCTCTTCGCACGTCGTGAGTTCAATTCCCAGCAACCAGATGGTGGCTCACAACCATCTATAATGGGATCGATGCCGTCTCCTGGCCTGTAGGCATACATGCAGACACAGTACTTATATCCAAAAAAAAAAAGAAAAAAGAAAAAAAAAGAAATAAAAGGGGATCTCTGATGTGTCAAACAAGCAGAGATGCTACAAAGACTGGCCATGCTGAGCTTGCTTTGTGATTGAAGCATGGCACGTGGCACTTGTCTATAAACTAGCACTTGGGAGCATAAAACTGGAATGTCCTGAGTTCAAGGCCAGTCTTGGCTACATAATAGGACCCTGTCTTTAAAACAAATAACAATTAAAAAGTGGCCGGGCGTTGGTGGTGCACGCCTTTAATCCCAGCACTCGGGAGGCAGAGGCAGGCGGATCTCTGTGAGTTTGAGGCCAGCCTGGTCTACAGAGCGAGTTCCAGGACAGCCTCCAAAGCCACAGAGAAACCCTGTCTCGAAAAAAAGAAAAAAAATTAAAAGTGTGTCAACGAATCCTATTTGAACTATCCATGTTAAGTGGGGAAGAATTATCTTTCTTTCAGATTTTACAAATTACCTCAAGAAAACCGTTCTCTGAAAACTCTTCAAGGTGTGCCAGTCTATAGTCCCCAAGATGTAATGCCATGTAGGGTGTCATAGCCTGGGTCCACCTAAAGCTGTGCTGTCATCACTATGCCACAGCGATTCTCTTTAGACAAATTTAGTTTGGATGTCATCATCTCTTGGTTCTTCTAAGCAGCAGAGTTCTACCCAAGTGGCAGAAATTTGGGGAAGCATCTAATGCCACCGATGACAGTTCATGGTGGTATATGAGGTTATTTGCCGGTTAGCTGAACTCTCTATCAGAGCTCTCTGTTT